TCATTTACAGAATGGATAAAAACTTTGTACTTAATTTAAGGTATCACATTAAACAACTGATTAAATTAGTCATGTTCCTAAATAAATGTCTTTCTTTCCCTAGGTTAAGCTTTTAATTCAGAAGAGTTATTAAATTTTAGATTTTCTTGCCTTTTTGTCTTCTTTAAATAATCAACAACTTAATCTCTGTTTACTTAATTTTTCCCAGTGGAAAAAAACCCTTAAAGTTTTACTGAAAGATGATTGATTGGGCTCCTTAAGAACTTGCAAATACCCACATTTCCTTGCATCTTTCCTACTGGAATGCTTCCTCGGGTCACCAAGGAAGGCTGCCCTTCATTTCCAGCTGCATACAATCCTACTCCTCCAAACTCAATCTTCCTACTAAAATTCTGTCACCTCTCCAAACTGTGCACTTCACTTATGGCTCCTTCTAGTTACCAAAGAGTTTGTCCCAACTCCCTAGTAGTGTAGCTGAGCATGCCATAGTAAAGATGAAGAAGCACCAAACCACATGCAGATTTCCACGGATCAGCTGGCTCCTGAGAGTCTCCTATTCAGTGCTCACATGTGCTCCATTATTTGCATATGCTGCAGGGTAAAAATCTGTATATTCTCAACAGTACTAATTACCCAACATTAAAGGCGACCCTATGGCCCAAGTCCATTTGTTTACCTTCTCCTTCCAGTCATAATATTTTCGCTTTCATAGCCTTAACATGTGAAGCCCACTAAGATTTGTTTGTGGGTTAAAAACAGAACAACTTTTGAGGCCTGATTGAATTGTTTGCAGAGTGTCTCAATTGCATAATGAAATGTAACTGCAGCTGGCTACATAAATTGTTCTGGCCTTAAGGCCTGTGCTAATATTGCAGCAACAAAAATATTCTATGATTCTATGAAAGTAGAAGCTTTTCACACAATATGTAGTTGAAACATGTTATAACAATTTTCTGCAATATGACAAAGAGACTTGCCTCTTACATTTTTCCAATTATTCAAAGGAGAATAATTTACAAAGAGAAGTATTTGTACAGCTCAGTAAAAGAAAGATGTCTCCTGGAATCAATTAAAATACCCTAGATATATCTATGTTTTTTTTGTGATTCATTTCAAATAAAGACCTGATCCTTGATGAGAAAGAATTTAAAAGCACACTCATTACTGTCTAAAAAGAAAGACAACATATGTCATTGGCACTGTAACACTGTCTTTTTTTGTGCAGAATCAGCATAAACAGGAAAAATTCTGATTTTTTTTTTTTTGTTATCTTTTGTAATGATTTGTAGTGGCTGAAGAGGAGCTAAAAGGCTTGAGGAAAAAACAAAGGATAAAAGGAAAACAGTATAAGATACTTGAGAGACATTCAGAATTTTAAATACAGTAAAAAGTACAGTAAAAATTAGAGAATAAATCCGTATCTTAAAACCAACAACCAAGTTGCAACTGGGATCTCTCTGTACTGACTTCTTTCATTCATTGTGTGTGTTTAGATCCCAAATTCTTCAGGGTATTCAGCATAGGTCTCTTTGGACACATGCTGCATACAGGGTAGCCACTGTCTCATATCAAGCTGCATTTGTTATTGTAATTTGTATTCCAAAACAGGACTTGAAATGGCAATTACAAACAACACTGGTCAGCTTTCATATTTCTGCTAGAATTAGATACCATGAAAGTAGAGCATTAAACTCTGCCCTCACAGTTCTGCAGGATTCAGAAGAATCAATGACACCTTTGTACCACTGATCAGGACATGTTCTCCTTCAGGGATGTGTGTAGATATCTATGTGCATGTCCAAAACCCATTCTACAAGTGATTATGGCAAATCAAATCAAATCCAATCACTGCCTTTCCTTCTGTTCTAAAAAAAAACCCCAACTCTTCTCCTGCCTCCTCTTTTTCACTGAGAGAAGGGCCAGGCCTGCTGGATGCAGGGTGGTCTGTAGGAACACAGCATTTTAAATCCCAGCTGGAAGGGGCACAGCCAGGCTGGCACATTAGTGCAGGGACATGCAGTGCTGGGGAGCTGGGGACAAGAAGAGCAGAGGCAGAGTTTTGGCTTGACACTGAAACAGCAGCTAAAGCTCTGATCTTGGACTAAATTCTCATTTCCACACCTATAAGGGTGAAACAAACACCTTCCATCATGCACAGCCATGAATTTACTCAGCCTTACCCCCTTCTAATGTGTTTATGGGTTAAAAAAGGCATAGAAGGATGAGAGAGGTCATCTAATGTGACCTCCTGGAAAACTTTTACTTGACTTTCAAGAGAGGTCAGAAGAAAGGGAAAGATCTTTATATTTCAAATTGTCAGTGAAAGAGGGAATACACACTATGTGGTAGATTATTCCAAAGGCTAACTGATAAAAGGAGAGAGGAAAAGGCCTCTTTGCTTCTGATTTGAACTCACTTGGCTTCAGCTTTCAAATACACACTTCTGAAGTACTGAAAACCCTTTATCAAAGCTGTTTTTCCAAAGAGAGAATTACAGAGCTCTTACTCATTAATATTATCCTCCTTAAGCCCAGATGGGTTACTTCTTTGGTCTATAAGTTTGGTGCATATTTTCCATTCTTTAGGACACAATAATTTCAAAACTCGGGAAAGCCCACGTCCCACTTAAAAGACCTGTCACTGGAAAGAAAACATTTTGAATCCACATGGGCTAAGAAAGATCTCACATTCAGCCTTCTTTCCTTGTCCACATGAGGTACATTTGCATTTTAGCAAAACAAGAACAACATGATTGAGGAGATACATACTAAAATTAATAGGAGTATAATTAAAAAGTAAGAACAGCAGTTTCTGTGTTCTTTAATCATCATCATGTTAATTTTATAGCATGAGCAGTTCTTCCATCTTCTATGGAAAAAAATCATCCCCTAAAGATGATCTTAATTCAACAGAAATGTTGAATAAGGTGCAGTTTATACCAAGAATGTTTTAAAATTGGCAGGAATTCAAAAGATGAATCCACTGAATGTCGATGATAATCTTTATGCTTATGCATAACGTATTTTGTCTTGTGATTGGATATTACTTCAAAAGTTATTACACATAAGTAATAATTTCAATTTAAGACTATTCTATGTTGCTCCCCCTCTTCCCACATTTTCTTCAATTCACCTTTCCCTTTTCTTTCTGTGTACAAAATATTACTGTATTATTCAACAATTATTCAACAACTAAATCACTGCCAGTTTTGTTCCCTAGTCACCTAATTTGGTAGGAAAGCACAAGCCAAGCCTTTGGCACCCTAAAGCTGGAGGACCACAGGGCAAATGTAGCAGCATATTTTATAGTTCAAGAACATATACAGTATTTCAGAACATTTATTCAAGATTCAGCAAAAACTCTCCCATGAGCAAAACACAAAGTTATTTCATTGGCAAGAACAAAGGAAACCACATAGCTGTATTTATTCTCACTCTTTTTTATCTTCTACATAGAGTATGTCAGCACACAGGTAGGAAATGAATATAGATTTTTGTCTGGTTGTCAGTATTATTGAGTTGAACTACAGTTCAGAGAATACTACAGCAACGTGTGTGACAGTTTAACCACCTGCACTTGGAATTAGGAATGTGATACTGTCCTATATAAGCACTGGATAAATTTCAGGTTTAAACTGCACCAATATTTTTAAGCTTGTTCCTGCTATTTGCTCTTCTTTTCAACGTCTGTTGTAACAAAGTTATTTCAGGACAATTTCAAACATAAGTGAGAGGTCACGTTTGTAACCTTCGAACCAAGTATAGTGTCTGCAGGTCAGAAAGGTGACCTTTAATTGGAAATATTGAAGGAAGAGAGAAATTGCTTTATTTCAATGCAAAATTGTTAGAAAAAATAATATATAGATACTGTTATATTGCTCCAAAATGGAAATCACAGAGCAGGAAAATAGTAGACAGAGCCTCAGAAATTGCCTCAGTTCCAGGAAAGGTCAAGTCAGAGATTAGACCAGACTAGACATTCTCCTTCAGAACAGAAATAATGAAAGTACATAAGTCCTTAATATACAGCAATTCCCTATAAATTGAGTGAGTTATTACATATCTAGTTCCCTCAGTGGCATGATTGCTGCATAGGTTTTCAACTGGTTTTTTTTTTTTTTTTTTTTTTTTTAAGCACCAGCTAAGAATATGCAAAAATCTGCAAGAAGACTGTATTTGATTATTTGGAGTAAAAATTCTAAATTAGTTAGCCAGAAAGATTGTATCTCTTACTTTAACCAGTACAGAGAAATTCTGCAGCTTATGTCAGGAAATTAGGAAGAAAATACTTGTTCAAATACTAAAAGAAAAATATTTTTAAAAAGAGGAAATGAAAACGAGCTCTGTAGAAACAGCTTGCTGTCTACATGGTTAGGAGTAACACCACACTGTGCCCTTTTCCTTTCACCATTCCATCTAATTACAGCTCTTGTTCCCACAGTAACTGACTTTCTTCATTGTCATACTGCAATCTATCTCTACTCAACTTTCTTTTGTAATAAAACATGAAAATTGGGAAAAAATGGGAAAATAGGCTCAGTTTTTCCTCTGTGCTAGGAAGACTAAAAAAATTAAAAAAAAAAGAAAAGAGAAAAATAGAATGAAAAAAATGAAGTGGGAAATAAAGAAATCCAAAGTATTCAGATTTTTTAATTTTAGATATCTATAAGCTCCACTTCATTTTGAGGATTACTGGACAGAGTCCAAATATACTGAAGAAGGGCTATGTGTAGCCATTATGAAATTGAAACCATTAGTAGGGATTATGTATGGATGAAAATTTAAGCCTGTAGAGACAAATTACCTTTATTGCCTTTTTTTTTTAATTTTATTTCAAATTTAGAATCTCCATGTCTCTCTTACTACCTAGGAAAACAGCAATTCCTTCTAATTCCAGAGGAATCTAGAATTATCTATCTCCAAATTAATTTTCCACTTGCAAAAAGAAGATTAGCCAGACAATAGATATTTAGACATTTAATACATTAAATGCAAATTTACCTTGTCACCTTCAGAGAAAGTCATTCCATCAGAGGCCCTTTTCCAAGTAATCTCTGGGATAGGTTCTCCTTCTGCTTCACAGATGAGGGTTGCTTTCCCATTCTCAAAAGTGGTTTCATTTTTAAGTTGTATTATTTGAGGCTGCACTGTTGAAAATACAAATTGCATTACTGATCCTGCACAAAGAATGTCATCTCAAAATTTACCTTTAAAACCCTTTTCATTTTTTTTCCCTTCTGGGATAGTGTTGTCCTGCCTTGGTTGCTGTGTTTGTGTGCTTTTTTTCCCTCTTGGGCACAAGCCAGCCCTCACTGCTCTCTGGCAGTTCAGGAATGAAGCAAAGGTTCAGTGATTCCATGACGATCCTGCACCTGAGCAGGAATAACCCCATGTAGCAGTGCAGGCTGGGTGCTGACTGGCTGGAAAGCAGCTCTGTAGAGAGGGCCCAGAGGGTCCTGGTGGTCAAGAAGCTGAGAATGAGCCAGCAATTCACCCTTGAGGATCAGGGGTCTCATCCATGTGTATAAACACCTGATAGAGATGAGTGCAGGCAGAGCCAGAACCTTCTCAGCGGTGCCCAGTGACAGAACAACAGCCAATGGCACAAACTGAAACACAGAAAGAGGGAAAACCTGAGGGTAACTGAGGAGCAGAACAAGCTGCCCAGGAGATTGTGCAATCTCCATCCTTGAGGATACTGAAAACACAGCTAGACTTGGTCCCAAGACACCTGCTCTGGCTGACTCTGGACTAGATGGTCTGCAGAGTTGCTTTCCTGACTCAGGAATTCTTTGATTCCATGATAATCTGTGTTTGTCCTTAAATGCAAATTATTCAGGAAAAAAATAAAAAAAAGCATTATTACTATTCATGGACTTTGATCCTTAGCAATGTTTAACTGTCTTAAATAAATTACAGAATTTAACTAAATCCCCCAATAAAAACCACATCACACTGGTATTACCACTTTTAAGAACTGAAGAGTCCTCTGAGCCAAAGCTGTTAATCCTTGCTTACCAACTATACAAGTGGTAAAACACATTGAAAGATTCCAGGTATTATTTATGTTCTTCAAATCATTTCACTTTATAGCCTCAATTACACAGGAACTACAGCTCTCAGTCTATACTTTATCTTGCAAGGTTATTTACATGTACAACACAATTTCTGGTTGCATGTCGACACTTGTACTTCAAGGACTTATCTGTACAACATCACAAAAGAACTCTGTTGTAGAACTCTGCACAGAATATCACTCCCTTCCATGGCATTCAAATATCTTCAGTAAATATCTTTTGGTCTTATACATTACTTCATGTATAATGATTACTAAATTTCTCTGAACCTATCCACTTTACACATTGAATGAGGCACTCATCCCACTGGAAAACCTTCCATGTAGTCCTATAATAAGAATATGACTCATTAAATTTACACCCAAAAGCCAGGAATTCAGACTATAAGAGCAAATCAAATTTTGGCAGCTCTTAACATTGACTTTATCAGCTTTCAGTACATTTATTGAAAACAACGTATTTTCTATGTATTTTTTTCTGAGTTTTGCTTTGGAGGAAGCAGTACAATAGTATACTCCATATGAAACAGAAAATAAAGAGATCTAACCTGTTTTCCAAGAGCCTTATTAAAGTATAGCTATGCAGAAGAGCAATATTGGCTTTTGTTAATGGATCAAAAGCGGAAAGAGAGTCATTAAGGTAGGAATGGACTCCAGGAGGTCATCTTGACCAACCTCCTCATCCACAGTGTCAACAGACACTGTTCAGGTCAGATTACTCAGGGATTTGTGGAGCACTGTCTTGAGAAATGCCAAGAACAGAGACTGCACTGCCCCTCTCACCAGCCAGTTGCAGTGAGGAATGTTTTCCTTATGTCTTGTCTCCTGTTTCATTTAATAAGCACTATTTCATTTATGGCCCTTGTCTCACAGATAGATGCTGCATTTAGCATCACCAAGAAGAACAATAAAACCAGGCTCAAACTTGCTATCTTTAGATACATCACCCACCTCTCTTTTATCCACTTCCACCCCACCATTCTTGTCTCACTCCTTATCTCTTTTCTGCACACTCCTCCTGTTGCTTGTCTACACTCTATTCAGTGTTGACTATTATGAATAAACTATTGTATGTTTACTGCACAGAGATTAACAAGTAGCGTTTTACCTAAGAAAAGACTGAACTAATATCCTGCTTCGTTAATATATAACTATGGTGAGTGACATCATGTGCAGAAAGAAAACACCCGAGCGATCAGGGGTTCTCGAAATGTCAACTAGATCCAGATTTATTGGATGCAGCAGCAGGATATCAATTTGGCTGAGAAAATATGAAACTCTCCTCTGTGATTCAACAAAGGATGTCAGTGGAAAGAACTAAAAACAAAAAAAGAATTTGAGACAAGACAATTATGTTAAACTTCAAAATAACTTCAATTATTACTCTCACTTTCAGGATCATCCAAATGCCTATGAAATATTTGACCTTGGCACTCAGACACTGTATTCCTGCAGCCATATCACCTGTCTACAATATAATCTGTTCTATCCTTTCATTCCCTTGATATAATATCATCCCTGGAAAAAAAGAAAAGAGCTAAGGCAGATATATAATTTAAAAAAAAAAAAAAAAAAAAAAAAAAAAAAAAAAAAAAAAAAAAAAAAAAAAAAAAAAAAAAAAAAAAAAAAAAAAAAAAAAAAAAAAAAAAAAAAAAAAAAATCATCACACATAGTACTTTATGTCAGAAATTTTCAGAGTTTATAACGACATTATATCCATCAGAACAAGAAGATTTCCCCATCTGGACAATGTGACAAACAATATAATCTGCTCAAGATGACACATGTTCCAAAGCATATAAATAATACTGTTTAATTTTTAACCTTAGACATATTCTTAATTTCGTTAAGACCTTCTTCCAATGAATCACTACAAGACACAAAGTTTTAGCTTGACATTTTAGACGAGAGCAGCTGACATTTAAAAGAATAAGCACTGATTAATCATCAAATATATCTAGCTGACAGTTATTAGTTGGAAGAAGAAGAGAGCTCATATGGGGGAATATTATTTAATTGCTTCATTTTTGTAGGTCACAAGTCATAACTCACTATTGACTAAAAGTTTTTACACTGTTTGAATACCTTTCAGTGACATTTTGGACACGGAAAAACATTAAAATACATTTGTGTACATGTAAATAAAAATATTTATTTGAAATTTACAAGACTAGTATTGACAAATATTGAAACAGTTGTTTCATCCTGCCTTCCGCCTCCAGTTCTTTAACTCTTCTTTCTAAATTGATAAGGTCATTCTCAAACTGAATTGGTATTTGCTTGTTGTACTCTAGCAAATATGAAGGATGTAAAAATGTAGAGTCTTGGAATTCAAATTTAGGAAGCCTCTAGGCCTTTGCTGGTTTCTTCAGTCAAAAATATTGAAATATTTTTGTAGTGATGTAATTTAAAAATTTGTAACCCAGATCACTTGAATGAAATAAAAAATGGTTGAATATAGAAAGGACTTTTGCTTAAACTTCATTAAAATAATTTTATTTAGAAGGTAAGGAACTGCTTATTATAAGACAAGCATTTTATAAATATAAAAGAGTCATCTGCAAAATAAAGAAATAAAATTTAATGATTGGAAAGTTTGCTCTCTGCGCAGAGAAGGTTGGTGTTAAGTTCTCCAACACTTCCTCAATAAACAAGTTTTTTTCAGATTCCGTCCTTGGTCTCTTTTGGATTTGTCTCACTGTTGTGAAACTAAAGCCTATCCAAAAATGTGATGAAGAACATGGATAACTACCTGAAGTTTTAGATTTGTCACTGTTTGCTGACAACCCATTTCTTGGAAAAGGTACACAATTTTATTGCATTCACAGAGTTCTACCCATATCTTTGACAAAAAAATTTCATGAGACTTTGGAAATGACACATATATAAAGCTTGGGAAAGTCCTGATTAAGTCTCATCAGAAGAAACTGCTTTAATCAGCTTGTAATTGACAGAAACATGGATTTACTGGTGAGACTCTTAGTATGTCTGTACCACTGCCTGATAGGATCTCCTGATTAAGATATCAGAAGAGGAATCATGCTTTTCTGCTCTCCTCCTGCACAGTCATATTTGAATCAACAAAACTGCAGCTCTATCCTCCTGGAAACTGCTGGTACAAACTGAATTTAGTAAACCAACTAGAGACCAACATGGAAATACCTAAGAAAGAGATTCCTGGAACTTTATTCCTGACATAATAAGGATTCAAACACATACCTGTAGGAAATGTTGACTTGATTTAGTGAATGACAAACTCTAGTCTTTACCTTTCGATTGCATAATTGAAACAGGTTAAAATGCTATTACTACTTCATACTCAAAGGGATTTAAAGACTTGTCTTTTGAGAAAACTGTCATCACTGCCTTTATAGATTAGGTCATTTTTATTTTAAAAAATAGAGGTGTTCCAAACAGATAAGGAAGCTAAAAAAAAAAAGGGAAGAAGGAATGTAGAAATGTGTGAACAAGTTTCAACCCTGCCAGAGCCCTGTTGTTGTAGAAACAGTAGTTGTTGCCCCAAGGAGTTGGCATTGTAAATTAGAATTCAAGATAGCAGGTTTTTGAGACAAGTAAGCTAATGAAGTGGGAAAGAGAAATGTAATTTAATAGGCCATTTTAACACAGACTAGCTGTTTGTGTACTGTTTAGCTATAATAACCACCCATCTGCCTTGCCATTTTCAAAGCACAGGTTGGTTTAACACATTTAATGGGAAAAAAAGTATAATAAGCTGTTGGCTGTATATGTGACTGGGAGTTCTACCTGTGTGAAACACAAAAAAGAAAAAAGTAAAATTCCTTGTAGCAGAAATTAAAACTGTGCTCCACATTTTCACAGCTAAATAGAGGTGAATTTTGCAGAGGCAATATCAGAAAGAAATTACACTGAGCTGTAGAGATTACAAATAAGTAAGAGGCTTAACTGATCATACTATTCTCTAAGGTGTCCTGCTGTCAGCTGAAATAGAGTTAATTTTCTTCCTAGTAGCTCACCTGGTTTTGGATTCAGGATGAGAATAACGTTGGTAACACACTGATGGTTTAGTTGTTGCTGAGCATCAATTTTTTAAATATATTTTAATTCTATTATTATTATTATTGTTATTATTCCATTTCTGTCCTCTTAAACTGTCCTTATCTCAACCCATTAATTTTACTTTTTTTTTTTTTTTTTTCCTTCTGACATTCTCCATGATCCCAGGGCAGGCAAGGAGAAGTGAGTGAGTTGCTGCGTGGTGCTTGACTGCCTGCCGGGTTAAATCATGACACAAGGGCTAACTACCAGCATACAGGTTATTAAAATTTAAATTGAACTTATTCAATAGTAAAGCACACAGGAAAAGTACCTAAATATAAATACTTGATGGTGTGCTCAAAATTTGCTAAACCAACCTCTAAATTAACTACTCGGGAAAGAGATGTGGGAGGCACTGCAAACAATTCTGTGGAAACACTGGTTTGGTACTCGGGGACAGCCAGAGAGACAAACCAACTGTGAGAGGGCACCGAGATCAGTTCCCCTCACAACACAAATCCTGTGTGCCATTCCTGCCTTGCCACATGGAATTATAACCAGAAAGGTAGAGGAACACACTGTTCAGAGATACACAGTGGTTTCCACAGAAAGAGAAGATAAACTGACTAAAAAGTCATAGCTTAAAAATAAATGAACTAGTAAGAGAGAAAACTACATTTGATACAAAGAATCTAAGGAATTATTCAGCACTTTTTATCTTAAAATGATAATTATCAGCCAAAGAGATTAAGAGGCTCCACACTTACACATAAGAAATTACTTTTCAGGCCAGCAAGAAATGATATAAGTAATTTATGAGTTTATGATGTCATGGAAGCAAAAAGGATGTGTAGGTTCAAAATGGATTAAACCAACCAGTAGTGTCTATTAAAACACCTGGATTAAGCTTTCCAGGGAGTCCCCAGCAAACTGGTTGCTAAAAGATGAGAGAATGTATACAAGAAATACTCACTCTTACTGTGGTGTTTCCTTCTCCCTATCCCCTGTATTCCCCCTTCAGGCTCAGGCTCCCAGATCCCAAATGACAATATTATCCAATCCAACAGCTAAACTCTTCCAATACAAATGACCAGATTACCTTCTGCTGTTAGAACTGTTTCACTTTGCATAAATTACTATTAGTTTTAACTGGGACTTAATATTTAACATAGAATTATTAATTCTATTTCTTTTTTAAACTGGAAAGTTGATTCCCCATGGTTTTAAGTACAACCTTTAACTCTTCAAGTATAAATGGTCTTTCTCTCTTCTACTAGCTATAATTAACGTAAAAAAACCTCCCAAACAATTCATTTTTTGTAGGTTTTTTATAAGTGAGCTACAGCTTTTTTCCTGCATAGTGATTCTGAGGGATGTTTTCTACATTCTCAGAGATGCCTACTCTCACCAGGTTATAGGTAAACTTCAAATAAATTATCAGTTCTATGTGACAGAGAGAATCATTAACACAGATTGGGTGGAAGAGTACAGAAAGAGAAATAAGAGTTTTGATGTTATTACTTTTATCCTCTGAAACTCAGATCAGACAATATTTTCGTGACTACATTTTCAATTACCCACTTAAAAAATAAAAGTCAAGAAAAAACCCACAAATTAAAAAAATCAGGAACATCTCTGCGTGGTGTTTTCTTTTTAAGCCAGGTTTTCTCTTTCAGAATTTCCCCCTTTTTCTCTTCTTGGTTTTCATGCAAGTAGACAACTTCTAAAGGAAAACCAGAGTGAATTAATAATTTAACACTCTATGGTACTGTATCTGAATAGCAGAAAAGCCTTTCAAAATTAAACTCAGGTGTAAAGGTTAAAGTAGCCAGCAGGGAGGAAAGAAACTGTGAAGTTATACAGGGGGTGATTTGCTGCATCAGTAGGCACCTTGAAGGAATACTGTTCCACTGAAAATTATGACTTATCACCTCATTTCCCTCCTGTTTACGTTTTAAATGGCAGGATGGAACATAGTATGCAGTACTTACCAAAAACTTGAAGGAATGTCTGCTTTTTGTCATTTCCTGCTTTGTTTTTAGCATTACAGATATAAAGACCCGCATCGATGTTTTTTATATCTCTTATTGTTAGTTCTGTGTTGCTTCCTCTCAGCACATATTTTTCATTTGCTTCAATAAGTTTACCATTCCTAAAAAAAAAAAAAAAAAAAAAAAAGAATAATGTATAACTCAACCAGTAGTTCCAAACCTCTGAAATGATGGGCTATGAAAGCATCAATATGCTGAAAATAATATTTGAGAGAAGAGACTGCTCATGTGCTGGCCTTAAAAATGCATCAATTGGCAAAATGTAAAGAAGGGAGTTGATTTTAGGATGGTAAGAATTGGTATTCAGGATCACAGTGTTTTACCATAAGAATGTGCACATTCTAGACACAAGCAACGCGTTCTGAACTGCATCTTAATGTTCAAGACCCCAGCTGCACAATGTTATTGTCAGGTTATAAAATAAATATATATTAAAAATACTACAGTATCTTTCTTCTTAAATGTTACAATTGACCTAATGTTACAAAAATGGTTGTGAATAGAACTCTAACATATGGTTTACACTCAAGGAAGGGAAGAAGGAAATTGGTTAAATACACACTTGTATGTGAGAAACATTTAAAAACATATTTTGTAAGTGTAACTGCTGTAGTTCACAGTACTAAAAACTTAGCACCTTCTAAAAAATTTAGATTACATACACGTAGAGCCTATTGGCACATCAAGAACCCTTCCAATTTGTTTCCTCTCAGTTGTTGTTGGCCAGCCACAACTTAGTAAGCAGGCATGTCTCCAGATGTTAGAATGAGTTCTGACCAGATGGTGCAGAAATAATAAAACCTGTGAACAATTCTGAGGGCTGAGCGAGGCTTGACCGTTCCATTTGAGCACCTTGGCATGCACACACAGCTTCTTTTTCAAGACTGTAATTTTAACTTTTAAAATATTTTTCTGATTCTGCCCAGTTTGTAAAAGGTTTCTTTGATTTTATTTCTGTTGGTTCATCAACAGTCCCTTCTTATAAACACCTATCTAAAAATTGCTTGATTTTCATAAGCACTTATAATCCTGCTGTCAATGCCAATTTATTGAAAACAGACTATTTTAAAATAAAAATAATATAAATTACTCAAATATTCTATTCTGCTCATTGCACCTGGTTTTGGACGTCTAAATTTAATTCAAGATTTAAGCAAGAATTATTTTCTTTTGATTATAATCTAAAAATAATTATTAATATTTCATAATAATTCCTGACATTATATTTTCTTTAAAAGGGAGGATACTGCTTATTTCTTAGGAGCGTTAATATCTGTTAGTAGGAATCTTCTGGTATCTATATAGCTTGAATTTTAGTAACATTTTTTGTAAATAACTCTGGTCCACTTAGCTGTCAACTTCAAGACATTGTGATATTTGTTCATTTTCTTTCAAAAGCAAATCATAGAAATTGTTTATAGACCAATAACAGCCTAATTTTCCACATTAGGTGGTCTCACAGAAAAAAAACAGAACCAGAACAAACAAAAACCAACCCACACAGCAATAAACAAACCATAAAAAAATCCCCAACAACAAAAAACTCCTCAGTGATTTCTTTTAGGAGCCAAAAGTCGATATTCAAGGTTAGAAGTAATTTCCAGATGCCTGTTTTCCCAACCAACACTGGTATCTATGGCAATTTTTAAGCAGAAATGAGCATTTCTCTGGACCCTCCGGTGAACAGGGGAGATTCAGACTGATGCTGATATTGGATAACAAGAAAACATGAATTACACATTTAAAGCAGATTATTTCTTTTGTAAGATAATTCTAAGTCCTGTCAGTAAAGATCAGGAAATTGATCCAGCTAAACTTTACCAGTGTCATTTATCTCCATAACTGTAAACAATCATCATGTTTTCAGCAGGACTATTCACACGAGTAAAGATTTCCAGTTCATGACTTTCATGTACATATACATGTACAAGATAAAGATCTTTCAGTCCTGGCTAATTTAATTCCATTAGAACGTTGCTTCTCTGAAGGGTATCTTTACATTAATGCAATATCAGCTTCAGTAGAGATATCAGTTAAATGGCAAAAGAATTAGATTCTCTTGGTCCATGAAATATCCATTCTCTCTTTCTCTGTATATATTAAATAGAGTAGCAGCTAAACCTTGCTGACTTTTCTTCTGGCCTAGGTATTTCAAAATGACTAATTTTTAACTGAACTAAAGCATTTTTTAAGAAAAAAAAAAAAGACATTAGTTCAGATGCATTTATTTTAAATTGACAAAATCTTAAACATCGTCAGCACCTGGAAATGAAAAGGGTCAATGTAAACAGTTCAAGCAAGAACACATTATCTACTATCTTATAGAGTTTAAAGGTTAAGACTATTTGTTCATCACCTTGCTTACAGTCAACACAGAGAAATACATGACACTTTAATAGTACTATCATCTGATTTTAAAAATACATATATTTTTTATGCCCTAGCTGCAGCTGACTTGTTAAACTCAGTTCATTGGAAACCAAAAAGGAAACAAAAGAAACATCAAGAGAATTTACTTTTGAATTGACTAAAATATCAGTGGAGTGTAAGCAAGGTAAGGCTCCTTTTGGATAAATACAAATTCTGCAGTCCTTGCCAAAGAAACTTCAGTAGACAAAATGAGCGAATAATTGGTGTGAGGGTCCATTTTAAAAGGTAACACAAGAACACTGAACTGGGTATAAAACAAGTCCTTAATCTTGATGAAACACCTCAATAGACACGAATGTACTTTCTATACCTTTAATTAAAATACTCCAGTAGGATGGAGTACAAATCCTTCCCTTTTTATCAGAACTCTTCCTCAGCTTGGTATACTTTCGAATGTTTTGCAGTGACACATCAAAAATTGGTATGATTATTCCCTATGATAATAGTTTTCATCTTTCTGAAGCTATTAGCTATACTTAGCTATTCTGAGAATTCAGAAAACAGACTTCCATTAAATCACTTTGTTGCATATGCCCATTTTACAAATGGTTAACCTGAGGCAAATTAAATAAATTGACTGAACTCACAAAGATAAAAGGTACAGTTGGGTATAAAACTGAACATTATTTCCATAACTTGCCCTTAACAAAGATTACAATCCTTCCAAAATCAGTATTAAAATTTAAGCAAGTTCAAGGCGTAATTCCACTTGTTTATTTAAATAGAAACTTAAAACTGAGGTTACTATCAACTTATATTCAACATCAGAAAGTAAACTAAACAAGATGAAATCAGGAATAATTGGCCATTGATTCTGATAAACTGATTCAGTTAGGTTTTCAGTGGATGACAAGCACAATGATATCAGTTTTGACAGACTTTTCTACCACTGACAATGCCTTTTAGATTTTTCTCAAAATCAAAAAAATATTATGTTGATCTAGTTTTTCTATGTTCAGTCTAATTTCTAAAGTAAAAGCATCTAAAGTCTTATAGAAAGCAAAGGTCTTTATCTTGACATATTTGCTAAGTAAGACCAAAGACAAGGAAAAGAGATCAGCTGATTCTGAATTCTTTTAACTGGCTATGTTACATTGGTATATACATTAATATGTTGGTGAAAAAAAACCTAAACTGTTCAGAACAGAGAATTTAGAAATTTGATGCAGAAATTTAGTACTGTAATAGAATTTAGAAACTTTTGCTTCCTCTAGGAAAAATAATTTCACTACTCTATCTTTTTTCCCTGTTTACATATCAATAATAATATCCTATCACACTGATAAGGGGCCTTTTCCACCTACCACTTTAAAAACCTCTCACTTTCAGGAAATATAAAAGCAAGAATTTACAATCTAATAGGACAAAATAAAAAGAGAATGAAAGGGAAAAAAAAACCCCAACAGGGAAGGGAAGCACATTAGCCAATATTCCTCATTCCTGAAATGGGAACAGAACAGAAACTTCTACATTTAATACTCACTATCCAGTCCACAAGCCTGTGAAGTTTCATAAAATCTTTTAAAAATATTTAATGAATGGTTTAGAAAACTCAGCTCTTCAACTTTTATGAAATATATATAATATATATAATTATATATTATATGTTTTTATATATCTATCTATATATATATCTATAATATAATCATATAACATATATTCATAAAACATGAGTAAAATCCCACAACTGTAAACACAGATATCCACAAACTGCAGAAATGTATGCATTCTTTCTTAACAATATATACACCATAATGTTGGCTGTCTTATACCAAACCCACTTAGGATAGCAGATTTCAGGCAACTCTTAAGATTTTTGTTTAGGTAAGAGAGCCACTGCAAAAAATTACTTCAAAGACATTAAATACAAGGAATAATAAACTGTATCTTGAATTCAGTATCAGTTCTTTAATTTGGGCTCTACATATTCTGGGTTTCTTTTTCTTCCTCTTCACTAAATTTTGAATTTTAAGATACATTAAATTCCTTAACTTTGCATTCTATTTATTTACATTTCCTGGGATTCAGACTGCACAAGAGAAAAATCTGAATTCACATTTGGTGTTTGGCATACTGAGATGAAGGTATCAGTCAAAGGAAGATAACCTTAATCTAACATTGCTCAAAGGTTCCAAAGGAGATTAAGAATTAATGGAAATTCCTTCTATACCCATTTTGCAAATGGAATGACCTTTTAATTCACCTGAAATAATATAAGTAGATGCAAATTATTCAGGTCTAAAATAGAAATGTGCACTGGTATGAGGTGTTGAGATACTTTATATCCCAAGACCGATGCATATCTTTGTTCAAACAGAAAGAACACAGAGTGTATAGATATTTAAATTTTTACAAATGTTATATGGTAAGTGTTCCCAAATGACATAGCTGTACTATGCTCATGCCACTGATAAAATCAAAAAAACCACACATGAGCTTTAAAAGCAATTTCATTTTCAAAGCATTTTACCCTTTTAAAATTGCATTAAATTACACTGAAACTTATTCAATGAAAAATTCCCTTGTTCCATAGGTGTCTAAAGTCATAGCTCCTCTCAAGCTCTTTAACATGGAGAGTTGGGGTTAGAATCTATTTTTACAGATGGGAAAAATGTTATCTTTTTCACCAGTATTGTTGATTTGCATTGGACAGTTCTTTATCGCACAAATGCCTATGTTTTTACCTGATATGTTAATGTGCAAAAGTTGTTGTTACATTTTTCTTGTGTTGTTTTTGAGAAATGGACTCATTTCTTCAGCTTTATTTGTTTCCACTCACATACGAAGAAATCATGACAATATGGTATTTTTGTTACTTTTTATGTTTATTTCACTTGCTGGTAAACCTGAGTGCAATTGAATTTGTTCAAGTTCATTCACTTATTAATGCTTAATCTAGCTTTAGCAGTTACAACAGAAACAGACAGCCAATGCTCCTAAAATTCAGGAGAAATTAAGGATACACAGCTAATGGACTGTGGTAGAAAACTGTGAGGCATAAAAACAATGTGCCCTGACGAGCAGCCCTCAAATGAACTTACCTGTACCAACTGATTTCAGGTGGAGGTGATCCAGTGGCTCTGCAGAAAAAAGTTATTGCCTCTCCTCGGTCTGCAGTGGCATTGAAGGATTTCTGTAGCAGAATAATTGCAGGGGGAACTGGAAAAAATAAGACATTATGTGCTGTTAATCAAAAATAGAATAATTTGTGTGTTTCTGGAGAAATTTAAAGTATAGGATCCTTTGCTAATTTGGGAATTTATAGTTATACTTAGGAATCAAGACAAGATATGAAACACTTTTACACGTATTTCTTTACTTTTTTTAAACACAAGACTTCTAATATTATCAGGATATCTGTAGCACTTTTTTCTATAGAATAAATTTTTTTAATTCTTTTTCAGCAGCTCTTCAACTTTCATAGGAAGATTCTAAGATGACTGGGGTTATACCTAACATATATAAGACAATACATACATAAGCCATTAAACTTACGTATGTATTGTCTGATACATTGTCTGACTGATGTCAGACAGTGCTTTTAAAACAACTGTCCATATGCAGGAGTTTTGATTATGAATATTTTATTTTTTTACTGAATTCTTGCATACTTCCTGGGTAGGAGCACTGTCAGTTTTCAAAGAGGAAACGTGAAAGAACCCAATGGGTACAACCTATTCCTATTTCCAAAAACTGTAATTGTGTTCTGAGAGTGACAAATGATTTCTGTTCTTGATATGTTATTACTGAAGTTATTACTAAAATTGTAACAGGTCCCAGAGAATCTCTACCCTACAGAAAAAATAGCAATAATATTTGAGACAGCACAACTCACAGGCTGCTATTAAACATATCTTTTAATTTGGTAGTTTTAATACGACTGTCAAAAGTCTGTTACCATTGACTAACAAGCAAATAAGAAGTGTTCAAGGCCCACTTGGATGGAGCTCTTAGCAAACTGCTCTAGTGGAAGGTGTCTCTGCATTGGCACAAGGGTTGGAACTAAATGATCTCTAAGGTCCCTTCCAACCCAAACCATTCCATGATTCTGTGAAACATAAAACTAAAAACAATCCCAGGAGATGGGAAGGACGAGGATATGTGTAAAAGGCAGACTGTCACAGAAAGCAAGAGGAAAGGGAGAAGGAGATTAGAGTTTCAGAAAATATAGGTCTCTGCTAGCAAGAACATCCTGTTGGAATTATTCAGTGTTATCCCTTTTACCTTAACACTTCACTAGAGAAAAGAAGATGAAACAGACAATCCAAGTGAATTTGCTTTTGCCTTCACAGTGTACTTCAACAGGTTTTTCTCATCAAACATTGAGAATCAACTTCTGTTGCTTTGCACCAAATATTTCAGCTTTAGTTTTCTACTTCAGAAGCCTTTCCAGCTTCTGAACCTTAAATATAACAAATTATCATAAAATCATGTACCAGAATTATCAGTGATCAGAAAGTCTATGTTGTTATGCGCTTTTCACACTTGTTTATGGTATGTTTTACTATTTTTCATCGATCACTTCTCTCCTATCTAAAATTGCCTTTACTCAGCATACAAAAACCATGTGGTGTGCAACAGCATTTCTCCATCTCCAAAAAAAAAAAAAAAAGTGTTGCTTAGAAAGTGTTTAATACATTTTAGCTATTTTAAGCTACTTTTCAGTGCATTCTAAGTGAAAATACACTTAGGAATATGAGGAGATGAACTAATTCTTTGCCAGAAGCAGCAGGTTCTTTGCTGCTCACAAATAAGAACTACAGAACTCAGATTTGGTTAAGCACATTACTTAAGTGCTTTAATCTTCTAAGAGGTACGGCAATGACAATGAAATGGGATTATTTTTCTCCTCATTATTACTGGGAAGACATCTGTTTATCTTTGATTCTGTTCTTGTATGTATATCAGATTGAACTAAAGTGTGAACCAAAGACCACTACAATTTTCACTTATTTCTGGGTATTACTCTAAAAGCTATTTTGGACCGAGTTTTATACATTAAATTTTATGTAGGAAAACCTATTTATTACTACAAATGAGGCAGAAAATAGCTCTTAATTGATGCCATTCTACATGGGCAACCATGTCAGAATCACTCATTTGGCAACTACTTCTCCTCCCAACACTGAAATTTAGAAGTGAGTGTTAGCATTCTAGTCTAGAGTCATAATAAATGTCTGAAGAACCCAATTTGTGTTTCTAATGTAGCAATAAATGATGTGAAGTCAAATCACAGTTTGCAAAGTAGTATTTTAGCTTAAACACAGGCTCTCTCTCAGCTCAAGTGTATTTAAATATCAGATAGACATGAACGGTGATCAGAAGTTAGAATCACACCCATGTACATCAATAGCAGCAGCAGAAAATCTCATTCAGCATTTTAAATGTTACTGGATGCACTGTTGGAATTGCAGATAACCAGGAGTGGGGGTAATGCAGCACCAGAATGAGCTACCCACAACAATCTACAGAATTCTGCTTCAAAGTCTGCTGTGTGACTACTGGGATTTAGCAATACCTCTGCCAGAACCTGCTCTTTCTGCTGACACTAACTGAGAATTCAACTTACATAATGACTTCTGTAAACTGAGGTTTGCCGAGAAGGACCAGTCAAGGGCAAAGCATTCAAGGTTCGGAACATAAAAGGCACGGTGGAAAAAATTTCATTGCAAGACTGACATTAAACAGAGGGCATAGATAAAAAATGACCTTTATGAACTGTGTCCTTTCCAGGCAATATATGAAGAGATATTTATCTTTCAACAGGTCAACCCTGAATTTAAGGAAGGTTGAGTAAAATGCCCCGTCTTGTCTCAATTCATTCATTTTCCTTCTTAGAGGTTTGTTATAAACTTATAAAATGTATAATTCCAAATTTTAGGTAACTCCTTACATATTTTATTCTTTATAAAAATAAAATCTAAAAACTCTATAACTAAGACTTTTAGTCTTAATAAGATGTATCCATGATTTTTGGAACAGTTCATAAAGTATGTTAATGCAGTGAACGTGAATAATTACGAAAAATCAATTGTAGTTTAACTGTAAATGACATAACATTGAAAAATACAGGGTGAACAGAACTGCCATAATCTACTACTCAGGTCTTGCAGTAATTGTTATTCTTCTGTGAATGATTAATAACAACAACCTGGTTTTACATATTTATATTTACTGATACTGTGAAATGCAATGAATTCTATTTACCCAATAGACTAGATTTTTTTTCAATATTAAACAATTACATTTATAGGAAAACAATACAAAACAGACATGACAATTATGTTAACGAGTTTAATCAGTATTTTTTAGAAGCTGATATATGTTAAAATGGGATCTAATAATCAAATAGAACAACAAGTCAATTCACCTTTTAAATTCCTTACCATTCACAATAACAATTATGTCCCGAAAGTCAATTTCTCCTCTTGCTTCCACTCTTCCTTCACATCTGTATACTCCTTCATCGCTTTTATTGATTTTAAGAATTTGGAGGTTATTGTTTGCTAATACTGCAAATCGATCTAGAAAGGCAAATAAGAGATTAAGTGGAGTTAGTAAATCAAGATAACATGAGTACCTTAAACTAGTAATACAAAATACATATCGAAGAGAATTTTTTTTTTTCTACATTGGTTTTCTGTCTGGCTATGAATTAATCAATTTAAACTGATAGGCCAGAGGCAGATTTTTGGTTTTCTGAAATCTAATCATTAAAATCTTAGTTTATAGAGAGTCATCAAGAGAAGCCAACTGTGCCTCAGCCATCAGGGTTTTCTGGGAGGAGGGAGAGATGGAGATGGCTTTCAAAAATCTGGTCTTTATTCATCCCAGGGGCAAATTAGTTTTCATTCACTCCAGCAAAGCAAGGTGTAGAACCATTTCATCACTAGTCTGTTTTTAAAAGGATTTCAACAAGAGATATGAACTGTGCCTTCATTTTCAATCTACAGAAGCGTATTGTTGTACTTTCTCTGTACAATATAAATGCTCATTGAGAAAACATTTGTTGATTTAAAAGTAAAATGTCAGCTAAGAAATTAGGGGGTTTTCTCATTCCAAAATACATTGCCATTTCCTAAATTTCAGTATGGATTTTCCACCCATAACTCCCTACTTAATTATCAAAGAAGTCATCCAATTTAAGTTAAATTTACAGTAATTGTAAAATGAGTGGAATATTCATGAGTACCTATGTAGAATATCTAAAAAAATTTAACAGAAAAAATATTGAAAATATAAATTGAGTAATTTTTAATAAAATAGACGACTAAATGCTGCTTCTTCTTCTATCTAGACACCAAGTAGCTTTGTGCCCATTCTACACCATTAAGTTTAATGATTTTCAGCTTGCTTTCCCCCTTCCCTCCCCCCATTCCTTTCCTTAGTCACTCTTACTCAGTCAAAGATGTATCTCACCACAGTCTAACACTACGTAGAAATGATGTTATCTAAAAAAAAAACCCACTCTATTTTCTGCATAGGCCTCAATTAACTGAAACTAGGTGGTCTTTTTGAGTAGCTGATGTTCATCACAAAAATCAGGTTCTGAACAACCGTGCACGCAGTCTCCTGCACATGCAGCAGCAAAATTATAATCCGCAAGAGTAAAGTGGATGCAAATTTAACTTTTCCTCTCCTTTCTGCCTGGATTAGTGCATTGGGTTTACAGGCTGATGGGTTGGTCCCAGGAAAGAGCAATCCATGTTGCAGTAAGTTTTTCCTGAACAATTGCAACCCACCAAAGGGACTCACATTAGAGCTGTTATGGACTGACCACAACCCCCGTTCCCCGATCTCCCCTCTCTCCCTGGAGTCAGCAAAGAAAGAGTAAATTTAAGACTGAGAAAAAGGAGGGGGAAGGTGTTGCTTTAATTCTGTCTTTGTGTTTAACTAACCAGCCATATTTAACTGGCAATAAATTAATTTTCCCCAATCCAAATCCATTTTGCTTGTGCTGGGAATTCAAGAGTGATCTCCCTGTCTTTATCCCAACACCAAAGCCGGACCAACCAGCAGCAGTGGTAGCACCTCTGGGAGAATGTATTTCAGAAGGGGAAAGTTACTATGCAAGAGCAAGTGCAGCTGGAGAGAGGAGTGAGAATGTGTGAGAGGAAGAACCCTCCAGACACCAAGGTCAGTGCACAAGCAGGGACAGGAGGTGCCCCAGGTACCAGAACAGAGATTAAACCCCAGAAGAAGGGAGGTGTGTGGGGAAGATATTAAGATTTGCTTTTATTTCTCACTATCCTACCCTGATTTGATTGATAATAAATTATTTTTTTCCCCAAGTCATGTCTGTTTTCCCATGATGACAATTGGTGAGTGATCTCTCACCATCCTTATCTCAACCCATGAGCCTTTTTTTATATTTTCCCTCCCCTGGCCAGCTGAAGAGGACAACTGACCATGAAAAAAAGCAGCATTGGTAGGCAGCTGGCATCCACCCAGGGTCAACCCACCCCACCTGTTGAGGAGGGCAAGTGACAGAGTGGCTGGGTGGGTGTCTGGAAGTTGGCCAAGGTCAACATTAATGGAATCTTTTGAGGAGAATTACTCCCTGCATTTCATGTATGTGGGTTTTGAAGAACCTGCATACTTGTTATTCAGCTGCCTTTCTTGTTCTGTTTGTACCAGTGTCATCCTTTCAGCACTGGAGAATGACACGATTTACTATCTTTCAGTTTTAACTAGAAACCAAGAGACTTCTGTTCCAGTAGCAAGAATTCTATCATAAAATAAAGAGATAAATGAGAAAAGAAAATTTAATTATGCTTCACCTGATAGAAGTGTACAGGACATCAATGTCCTCAACACATGTACGTGAATTATGTCTGGTTAATAAGCTCATGCTTGAACATTAATGCCATTTCACACACTACCACATAGAAATTATATAATCTTTTTCTTTCCTGCCTCTACAAAATTCCCAGAGAACCATGCCTCCAAATGTTTTGAAAAGGTGAGACCCAGTCCCTCTTTAAATTAATTGCTTTCTTTTTTTTTTTTTTTTGTTAACATAAATATTTAATGTGTCAGAAGAACGAGAGGGCTAGAGGTCATATTTATTTCTTTAAAACACTGGATAAATGAGGGTTCAGGAGGGTTTCTGTTCCTTAGTAACAGGAAACAAAAACTGTAAGTGTTGGTTGGATAATTTTACAACTTTCATTGAAGAAATATAATGGAAACAAGAATAGACATCTCTATGAGTAAACTTGTTATACCACAAAAAAAAATATTTTGGGTCTTTTTTTACCACCAGTACTGTCTACATACAGACAAAATTATATACATTATATTATAATCAAACTTAGAAAATGGGAAATGAATTATTAACACTTGTTTATTTCATAAGATACCAAATAAACTTTTAATTTTCATTTTTATATAAAAGTAGTAATTAATTTTTTAAATTATAATAATTTTAAGTGCATACTGCTACCTCCAGTTTCATTACATGCAGAAGCAAATCTTGAGAAGGTGGATAAGGTAGTTCAGTGAAAAAGCTACTTCCATTTCCAGGAAATGTGGAAAGTCCCATTTTCCATAAAAGCCTATCTGACTGTTGAGGTAGCACTGACAAACAATTCACAGTTTTTGAGGCAGTAGGTCAAAGAAATTCTAAATGCCTAACTAATTGTCTCTCTAGAGGCTTAAAACTTGTATATGAGGAACGTGGGGTTTCTCTTCACCTAGGCTTTATCAGTCTAGCCTAAGAAGATTACTCGTATCCCCAGTTGCTTGTAACTCAAAGGGTAACTTACCCCAACACAAACTCTCACAACAGTGTAGAAAGCCGTTCCACCTGGAATTCTCTGAGCAGGTATCCCAAAGTCAATGCAGTGTGTGATCAGTGTCACTGCTTTATGTGCACAGTGAGGCACATCTGCGTGTTTGAAACGTATGTTCAACTCCTATATACAAGGTAGACCAGGAAGAGTTCCTGTGAAGGAGCTCCCATGAACCTTTTGGGCATTTGGACCCTCATGTTACATTTAGACAGAATTCCCAATTGGAAATAAAGACATATGAAAGAAACCATCATATATTCCCTATATGCCACAGAACCTGCTTAAATCACACAAACTCGTGGGCTAATCAAAATCCCCCACATAATGTGATTAATCTTCTTTTACAATAATGTTTAAATATTAATTGGAATGTATAACTGAAAGAGTTACCAAAATACTAACTGTCAGCAATAGTTGTGACTTCCTCGTTCCGATACAACCAGCTGACAACGGGAGCAGGCGAACTGGTAACACGGCAAACAACTTCTGCATCTTCTCCCTGCCTGAACTCCTGTGGAGACACTATGTCTCGAAAAGTGAGCTTTTCTGAAAAGGAAAAAAAAAAAAAAAAGCAGAATACAGTAGGTGTCTTGCAGTTCACTCAGCAATAAAATTACATGTGACATCAAATCAGATAAATGGGACTATTATGCCTTCTCACTGTGATAAAACAGAATTATTTCCATAATATATTTTTCCCAGATAAGACTCAAATGGTCCTAGACATATAATTTCCACTGTCTGTAAAAATATTTTACAATCATATTTTATTATGAAAGATTTTGTTTCTTTTCATAAACTTTTCATGTTTTATAAATGTACTTTCATTGTTTTCAATGTTCCAGAGCCCAGTTTTGAAACTCTAGGTCTTATAAGTTTATATATTCATATTATTAATCTATTTACTCTCTTTTGTTTATTATTCCTCATTATTTTATTATTCAATTAAAACCTCATGCTTTTATTCTATCAAAACTTCCATAAAAAGCACTAAAATTTGGAAAACTACCTAACAAAGTAGAATTTTAGCTTCACTGACTGAGAAAAATATCAGTTGAGTAAAGCAAAAAAACCTCAAAAGCCAGTGAGAAATTACATGGAAAACCATTATGAAGTCATATGAAACTGTAGCATTGTTTTTAAGAACTAACAAGAATTTTTAGGCCTTATAGTAGGCTTTTAATTTTTCCAACCCCAAATAATGAAAAGATATTTGGTTGTATTTGTGGGTTGAATAAACTCAGTATTATTACAGTTTAGTGTTGGAAGTCCAAGACGGTATTAATCCATGATTTCATACCAGACCTAATGCAGAAACCAACCAATCGACAAGAAAAAAAAAAAAAAATCTGCAATAATTTCTTGCACACAAAATAAACAAACCAATCTATGCTCTCTCAGGTCAAAGATGGCCAGTTATCTTTCAGAGGACACTTCGGAGAACATAAAGCAGAGCTGCTGCTTCACCTCTATTTTTTTTTTTTAATTGATACAGGCTCAAACAATCCACACAGTTCCCACAGCAGGTGGACACACTTTTGTTACATACAGCTCTTATATAGTTTTGCATGAAGTGTTTGAAATATTTTAGCATATGTAAGACAGAAAAAAAACCTCTCATAGATGTCAGTGAGTCCTGAGCCAGGCTCTAAGACAACCAACAGTTAGTTAGTGAGTCTATTCTCTTTTTTTTTACCATACATCCCAAATATGAATAAGGATTCTTTTATGTGTCAGTTCCCACAAACCTTGACATTTTTTTGTGGGTTTTCAGGTTTATGTGACCTCAGAATTATCAAAATTACGACATGCAAACACTTCAAAAGACTTTCACCTTGCTCAGCAGTCTGTTAATGGAGAAACTAGCAGTTTTATGCATACAAATGAATTCCCCCAAACTTGAATTCCTCTGAACTGCCAGCTTTCAAGCCATCATGTAATCACTTGTAACTGCTATCACCCTTTATATGGTTCTTTTATCAAAACATGTTTTTATAATTGTATGTCTTTTGTTGTCTGAGTTATCTGTACCCCTCAGAAGCAGAGCTTTACTGTTCTACTCTGTATTTTCTGTCTCGTTGTAGTTCCTTGCATTTAAAAAAACTGTTCTCTAATGAAATAAGAGACTAACTCAGCTGAAAGGTTTCTGGCATATGGCCCATCCTTTCACCAACAAAGACCTTCCTTACATATTCACTGAGTTTGTTTAATGTACTGCTTCTAGGCATTTTTGATTGATCTGAAGAATATGGAACAATGTAAAGTTACTCAACCACAGTGAGAGAAAACCTAACAACTATTCTCTCAGACAATCCCTTACAACAGTAGAATGTATTTATTTTTCAAATATATTCCTCAATTAGTTGCTTGCAATTGAAATGCATTTTGGTTACTTATCACCCCAAGCTTGTCAATGCTTTATGTCAAAATTTCATTATAAGGCCAAGAATATCAAAAGACTGTCATAAAAATAAGTAATTCAGCAAAAACTCCACTTTTTTATTGTCACATATTGTACTTCCAGCAATAATAACTTTCATCCATATAAAAATAAAATTTTATTTATGCACATATTTGTAATATATCATAGATATATTTTAGGAAGAATTATGTTGATCTTTTTTCTCAACTCTTTTTTCTTAACTTTTTTCTCATATTTACTTCTTTCTTTGAGGAGCATACAGTGCACCCTCCTAATATGACATTCTAAAACACAAGGAAAAAGTGATCTATGGTATTACTAAGTGACCATCCATTTAATTTGAGTATTTGTCATAATATCTACTAACTAAATTGCAGGAGATCCAATTATTTGCAAGAAAAAGACCAGAGCTTGGGAAGACATTTTTATAGGCTTTCCTTTCTTTATATTAGTGGCTTTTAGAACACAGTCTTTCATTTGTTAATGACAGTATTTTACTCACGATAAATTTCCAGAACTACAGTAGCTTCTTGAGTTTGTCCTTTAGCATCTGTTGCTTGACACCGATATATCCCGGCATCTTCTATGTTTGCACTGTAAATGGTGAGACGTGATCGAACTCCTTCTTTCTGAACAACCACTCTCTGACTAGAAACGATCTTCTCTCCTTGGGGGTTGTACCAGTCTATGCTGTCAGGCTCACCAATGGCTGCAAACGAAACCAAAAAACACCCCAGATTTAGCAGTTCAGGAGGACATCATGCAGTGCACAAGTTGATCCAATGCACAGTCCATGCAGCGACAGGAATTTACAGAAAACTCAGGAAGAATTTCTTCATGGAAAGGGTTGTCAAGCATTGGAATGGGTTGCCCAGTGAGATGGTGGAATCACCATCCTTGGAGGTGTTCAGGGGAAAACTTGATGTGGCACTTAGAGCCATGATCTAATTGACCTGGTTCGGTCAAAAGTTGGGCTCCATGATCTTGGAGGTCTTTTCCAACCTAAACAATTCTATGATTGTATAATGTCAGCTAACTGCTAAATTGTGAGAGTTGTCAAACTGTCAGTAGAAAGACAAGCAAGACAAAACTGCAGGCGGATGAACGATTGTTGAGAGAGGATAAACAGCAGCTCAATAATTCAAGAGGAGTAAAAAGCCCACAGGCAGGTATAAATTCCTAAAGGGAAGACACAGGCTGTCCAGCAGTCACTGGATCAACAGGTCAAGTCATCAGGCAGTTGCACTGTCAGTTTAGCCAGGCCATGCGTCACTGTCAGTGGAAGATGCCAACTCAGAAACGTTAAGAATCAGTGTCAGGCAGCTGCAAATGCAAACTCTTCTCCTGACTGATAGCTGCCTCACCAGAAAAATTCTTTATCTCTCTCATCAGGCTGGAGAGGATGCTAAAGCTTAAGCTAGTAGTTTATTTAATTCCTAGTTTAGACAAGTAAAAATATTTTAACTAAAAAAGCATCCTAAAAGATATAAACAACCTATGCTGATACATCGAATTCAAACTGAGTGATTAAGCATGTGAAATGAAGAGATTCCAGACTGGAAATGTGCTGTCAATGAAGACCTAGTATTTATCACAATTCTTATGAGTTAATATGAATATACAGCATTATGTTAATTAAATATTATGAATTAATTAATTCAGTTTTAAATATATAGGAAGTTCAAAAATTAATAAAAATTACATGCCTATAAGTAAAATGAATACATACCTGTGCACGTGAAGAACTTGGATTCACCCACACTGAGCTCAACTTTGCTAAGTGAAATTGTAACTTGGAGTAAAGCTGAAAAACATAAAGTAGGTTATAAGTATACTTGTGCATTTTTCAGTTTAAATTTTATATTGTCAAGTTTTGTATTTTTTTCATTCCATACACAGAATCTGTTCAATAAATCTGAAGTTTCAGCTAAACATTGTTACGCTTCGAACGAAAGTACCTATAGAGGTAAAGAAAACAATCAAAATAAAATGTTACGTGAAGGATAACGGCCTCATATCTGAGGCCCGAGAACAAAAGTAAAGGGGAAAAGAAAAAAAAAAAAGAAAAAGGTATAGAAATACACATAAACCCAGAAATTCTATAAGAATAAGGCAATTTGGAACACTCAGCATAGACTGACAAAGGGTAAATCATGCCTGACTTCTAGGATAAAATTATTAGTTTTGTGCATGAGAGAAGAATACTGGGTGGCAATTACTTTGACTTTATCAACACTTCTGACACTACCTCCCACAACCTTCTCATATTCAACTGCTTTGGGTATACATAGCAAGGTTTTGGTAGAGTGGGCTGGTTGCAGGGGTGACTTCTGTGGGAGGGAGGTCAGAGGGTATGCTGTGACAAATACAGTCAGTTCTAGCTAGCTCCACAATGCACCCACTGCAGGACACTGCTGAGAGGGTTAGAGGAGTTGTTCTCACATGGCCACAGTTCTATCACTTTGGTTTTGTTCCTCTGTTTGGTGTTCTAAGAGGTGCTACAAGTACATCCCCAAAAGGCCTGTGGATAACTCACAACAGAACCAAGAAAATGAGTTAGGCAGAATGAACAGTGGGAGAAAAGAGTTAAAAAAGAAGGAATGACAGAAAGAAATCACTATGTCCTCACACCAACCTCCTGCATTACCAACCCTCCTGTATTACCATCCTGCATTACCTCCTGCAATAAATAAATATTTCCCCAACTAGAGTCTGTTATGCCCCAAACAATGATTTGCCAATGATTTTCCCATCCTAACCTTGACCCATCAGTTTTCTCAGTCTCAGTATTCCTAATTTCATCCCTGTCTTGCTGTTGTTAAAGGAATCGAGCAAGGCAGTGTGTGGTGGCTTGGCCTAACCCACCACATCAATCTGTTTTGTCTGACCCTGATTTGAGCAGGAGATTGGACTAGAGACCTTCTTCAGTTCCTTCCACCTTGAATTATCTTGTTGTCCCATGACCCTAGGAACAACCTACCCAAAATAGACAGTATTATTGGTGAGGGGGTTAATTATGTAAAATAACTACGTACTCTTCAGTAATCACATTTCCAGCATCACCATCATTCTAAGTAGCTGTTTCTCTTGAACATCCATTATCTTAAAAAATCGAACAATAACTGTTCATGAGCCAAGAGCAGATAAAATCAATCACGTTAATTTGAAGCCCTAATCAAGGCAGAAGTTGTTGAACTGCAAAAAATGGACTCGTTTTTTTAAAGAAGAAAACAATCTGAATTTTCATTCAGTATTCTGCATAGTAGAGAACTGGGATGTATCTGAAGGTTAAGAAAAAATATTGGTCTAAAAATCTGGATTTTCTTTCAGCCTTGAAATATAGTAACTATGGTTTATTCTTTGTACGTGGAAATATTTGACCTCTTTGAAAACCGCAGCACAAGATATAGTTTATACTGAATATCATAATCTCACCAAGATTCCTTCTGTATAACTGGCATAAAAGTCCAGCAGGACAAACATCCTTAGAGATAAGAAGTATTACACTCCAAACTAAATTTTTTCCCTGACAAATTTCACCTATGAATAACAACCTGCTAAACCCCTCAATTATTCAGTTCTGCTGACAGCAAAAATTCAAGAAAAGATGAGCACAAGAAAAAAAATCATTAATCCCTATTGATAATACTTAGATAATGTGCCAACTAATACAATTAAGAGAAAAGTGTAATGAGATAGATTTTCTATTAACTTTCATGTAATCAGCCCAGATAAGCAAGAATCAGACAAGATTTGAATTTTTTCTTCAATAGTTGTACCAAAAGCTACATTAAAAAAAAAAAAAGGCAGAGAAAGCCGCAGATTACTTCATTATCAGTCTGCGAACCTAAATTTAACAAAACTGGTTATTTTCAAAAAAAAGAAAATAAATTAAAAATCAAATACATGTATGGTAAATAACATTTTTCATGAGATGTGCTGACTTGTGGTCAGGGACTTGTACCATTCTCCGCACAACAAGGAGCATGGTGAAGGCTCCTTTAGAACACAGAGAGCACTGACAGAGAACGAGTCTGTGCTCATTCTCATCTGTGGCCTTTAAATCCACGGTATCAGAAGCAAAAGATAAGCCTACTTGTAGGAAAGGAACTAAGTTTAACACAAAGTTTTCTTTTATGTTGCAATAAGCACCAAGGAGTAATAAATCACAGAGGAGGCTACTCTAAGCCTCATTTCTCTGTTTACCTGTCAGGTAAAGCTTCACTATAACCTCAGGACATACAACTGCTGGATGGAAACTAAGGTACTAATAAACACAGAGGTTGAGGAATTTCAAGCACTCAGACATTTATTTCACATCACAGACTCATTTTTTAGGTCCTATGCCACCATTTCTCTGGTACTACATTATTTTATTTTTTTTTTAATGCAGTTAGCAGTCTTGTGCAGTTGCTTCAGAAATATGTACATCGGCATTTCAGCAGTATTTCTTCAAGAACAATTGCACTGCTTAATTCCAATAACTGTAATAACTGATATCAAACTATGTAAATGCAGCAGATTAAGTAATGAATGTCAAGTAGAATGTAAGGAACAGCATGGAGAGGTGGAAAAGCAAGAGGGTATTTTTCCTTCATCAATTAAACACGTATTTGAAACTCTAACATAGTTTTGGCAAAGGGTTCAAATCCAATTAAATTTCTTAGCATAAATGTAACTATAAACTCTATGGAGACATGCTGGCTACATCTCTGAAACCAAAAGGAAGTCTTCTTTGCTACATATGGTACTTTAATATTTACAAAACAGAAAAATATAAGACCATCTGTCCCATTTTCCCAGCTTCATCATTTTCCTAGCTCTGCTTCATGTAAACAGTAAAATATTGTTTCATGCAACCCAGACAGAAAAATATTGTCCAAGTTATTACTCTAGCAATCTTTGCTTATTATTAGTGAGGCAAATAAGTCAAATACGAAGCTAGGAGGAGGCTCACTTGTCACTTACTAAAGGTAAAATATTGCAAAGAGACAACACAGTCAGAAAGTTCCACATTACTTCCAAATCTGTTTCAAGAACTACAGAGATGCATTAAGGTATTATAAGCTCTGATGAAGTTGGCAGTGATGTACTCACAGCTCAAGTTATGGCTGTACTGTAACAGCTAATGGATTAATATAAAAGGGAGTTGTTTGTAACAGACTGGTCTGATGGTCTTTGAATACACAGGAAAATCAGGTCAGTGAAGATGATCCAAAAATTCAGTAGAGGTGGTATCTAACTATGTTAAGCCAAACCCAAAAGTAAATGGTATCCTCTTGATAGATCTGACAAAATACTGCCTATTCCCATTTTTCCAAGGATAATTGGAAAAAAAAAATATTCAAAAATATAAGATGTGAAAGATCTCTTCAAGTAGAAGGCTGGGGAGTGTAATCCTGTTGTAGCACAGCTGTTCTGGGAAAACTGAAGTCGGTCAGGACTTCACTCAGTCTTTGGTACAGATCCAATTTTATTGCAAAATAAAAGAACACTGTTAGCACTAGGTGATACAACCAATCCCATCCCTTTTGATCAAAGTCATTATAAAAAAATTATTATCACTTGTAATACACTAAGAGGATTCTGCTGAATTATTCCTTAATGGGTTTAAAAATCACTTCGGAAGATAAGTAAGAACAGTAATGAGAGGTCCATTTGTTATGTTAAATATAGAGACAGATGACTGCATTCATGAGGACTAATATTTAGTAGCCTAATTGATTTTTATCCCATTAGCAGTAGTATCCTTCACATTTTAGAACAAACATCACACACCTGCCATAGCTGTCCACACACCTGATGCAAGAAAAGTGAGGTGTCATCAGTGAGAGGTTACAAGAATTGTAACAATTAGTGACTTGCATTTGTACTTCTACTGTCCCTTAGCAATATATTAAAACAAGTTCAAAGTGTATACTATACAAATATACTTTGAAACATATCTGTAAGGTTTATAAGGTACTAAAAAGGAAAAGGAGGCAATATTTAAATAACATCTGAAAATATTGGGTAAATCTCTGTTTCAACTAATAACTAAATCCAGCATCTTCTTGATAATTCCATTTCTTAAAAAAACCCAAACACCTCAAACACTCAAAAAATCCAAAAAGCTTCCTTTTGTCTGTATTGGAAAGATCCCAATAGCAAAACATACTATATTCTGCCCCAGTTTGCACAATGCAAATTTGGTACAATACAGTTGAACAGTTTTTATGCTGCATAAATAGATCTGAAAGCACTTTGGAATTTACTTTTGAGCAGCCAGACCGCTCTGCCATAAAAGGGTCTTTCTAAATCTGTTGGAATGCAAACTCATTGAAGGGGAGAGGGTAATGGGATGGCAGTAAAAAGAAAAGCACACACGTATTAAGAACAAGGCATAGCATGGGATCGACACAGAACTAAGGAAAGGGGTGATAACTAACAGAAGGCAGTTTGGGTGGCTCTGGGACTGGCTTCTAAAAAAACCTAGGTGATTGCAAGATAGGACTATCTTCCTTGGGAAGGTCCTAATTCTGTTTAGAATAAGTGCTCTGACAGTAGTTATACCATCAGCTATTGGAATTCTTTGTCTTCATGTAATAAGCAAAACTTACCTGGGTGATGTGGTTTTGCTTTCAGCAAATGATTAAACTAGTATTTAATGTGTAATATGCTTAGAAAATGAGGTTTCCCTATCCTTGAGCATGAAGAAATTAGTATGTTTTTAATAGGTATCAAATTCAATTCCAGAACAACCATCCACCCAGTTAATCTTTTTACCCTTCATTGTGCAGGCTTCTGAGAATATTCTGTGTTAGT